TTATAATCAGAGAGATCAAAAGATCATACAAATGGTGTGAGTAGAGTGTTGACAGGCCAAATAATAGGTCTCTGCAGGTGATCAAGAGTGTCAGGTGGTGTGAGTAAAGTGTCAACAGCTATCATGCTATTCCTCTCATTTGGTTTGTCTCCAGCACCACCTTATTTTTAATTTTTTGTAATTATCTTTCTGCTTCGTTTAATTGGATTATAGGTCATCCCTTCCCTTGTTATTCAGCTGTCAACACTCCACTCACACCATTTGTATGAACTTTTGATCTCTCCGATTATAAATTCTGTGCCCATGTGCTTCTCTCTCACTTCTCCTGACCAAGGGGCAGTGCTCGGCAAGCTTGTGATTTCAAATAAACCTGGTGTCGTCTGACTTCTTCACTTATCCACCCCAGTCCAACACCGGCAGCTCCACATCAAACCTGTTTTTGTGTCATCTGTAAGTTTAACTATAGAACATTCACTTCCTTCTCCAAGTCATTGATATATATTGTAATCAGATGCAGACCCAGCACTGATCCCTGTACAACCTCTCTGGTCACAGGTCACCAATCTGAAAAAGAACCCCTTATCCCCACTCACTGTTTCTTGCCCATGAGCCAATTCTCTATCCACACCAATATTCTACCTCCAACGCCAAGGACTCTTACCATATGGCCTAACGTTTTGTCAGGTCAGAGACTGGTGGATAACCAGGTCGGGGCTGAGAGCAGGGGTGGTGTGGAGTCAAGCTATGGTGGGTGGCGTAGGTCATTGGGCTGGGGCTGTGATTGGTAGTGATAGGATCTCGCTTGGTACAGTGAGTTATATCATGCTGTTAATCACTGACCAGAAATTAAACAACAGAATAATACAGTAAGCATCCAGCACCAGACCCTAGTCTCTGATGCTGAGCTCAGTGCCTTCAACAGTTATGTCATGTCCCAGAAAGCTCAAACTTTCCTCTCAGAAATCTGGACCATCACTGTGCCCAGGACAGGGCTTCTGATGGGTGCTCAAGGAACAGCGGCAGAGAGAGGACTCTTCAGCATTTACTGCTACTGGCATTAGAAAATGTCAGTACTACAGATTAGATTTGATCACTGATGGAAGGGATGTGGGTGTGTAAATGTGTTTTGGGCAGGTGCTGGATAATCTGTGTCAGCCTTATAGCTTCCCCAAGTTTTCTCCATGTGTGTGTGTATTTATGTGTCTATGTGTGTGTGTGTTTATGTGTATGCGTGTGTATTTATGTGTATGTGTTTGTGTTTGTGTTTACGTGTGTGTGTGTTTATGTGTATGTGTTTGTGTTTACGTGTGTGTGTGTTTATGTGTATGTGTTTGTTGTGTGCGTGTGTGTTTATGTGTGTGTGTTTATGTGTGTGTGTGTTTATGTGTGTGTGTTTGTGTTTATGTGTGTTTATGTGTATGTGTGCGTGTGTGTTTATGTGTGTGTGTGTTTATGTGTATGTGTGTGTGTTTATGTGTGTGTTGATGTGTGTGTGTCTGTGTGTGTGTTGTGTGTGTGTGTGTTTATGTGTCAACGTGTGTGTGTTTATGTGTGT